GTGAGCTAGGTTTTTAGACTTGTAGGACAGGAGGTTGTAAAGTACAGAAAAAAAATTTATTGAAAATCTCTTGAATACATTGTAAAGTATAGCTCCATATTTCCAAATAAAGTAGGCTGGAGGAGGGGGAGGGGCTCTCCCACCTGGAGACAGGTGATGGTCCCAGCCCTACCCCGGGGGTGCTGCGGGGGTCAGTCTAGGGCTCATACCTTTCATTGTACAGGGCTGAGGGGCAAGGGCCGGCCTTGACAGTTGTTCTGCTCCTCCCAGGCTCAGCTCAAAAGTCAGGGCTCAGCCTCCCTGGCCTCTCACTGATGGGGTCCTGAAGAAAGGCTGCTGCCTGCAGAGGCCAACAATAAGGAATCAAAGAGGAAAATGGCTAACAGGCCTTTTCACATTTGGCCTTGGAAGGAGGGCAGAGGCTGAGATACTGGGGTGAGGTAGGGGTGGGGGTAATCAATAACTTACCAGGACCTTCAGTGGGGCCTTGGGGGTAAACCTGGGTTGGTTTAGCAGGCCATGGTATGCTCTGGCCCAAAGTCAGGTGGGTCAGTTGGACGCCACTCCTGGGAACACTTCTTTGCGGCAGCAGGATGTGCAGAGGTAGGGCTCAGCCCGACTGAGACAGCATCAGAGCTGACCCCAGCCCTCAGAGATCAGCCTCACAGGTGGGGACAATGTCATATGCATTTACTAACAAGCAACTGAGGGCCACCTGCTCTGCTGCAGAACAGCTGCTGCCAGTGAAGACCCCAGGTGGGCCAGGAGGAGTGGGGTGGGCCTTGTTTTCCTTGGCTGTGACTACCAGTTAGGCTGCGAGGAACAGATGGTCAGTGGGTGAGGCCAGGCCCTTGACTTGCAAGTAACAATTCCTGAAGGGTTAAGTCAATTGTATGCCCAGCTGTGGTTTCTCAACAAGAAACCAATCCAATCAGTAAACCTCAGGGTGGGTTAAAGAAAGGTGGTGGCCAGGCCCAGGCAGGAGGAAAGGCCCATTACCCAGCTCTGAGAAACAGGAACAAGTGTCCCAAGAGGAGGGGCCTGTCTGGCCTTCCCCGGGGCCGCAGCGGGACACACACAATGCCCCTTGAGCACGGCATGTGGCACAACTCTGAGGAGTCATCACATTTCACACCCAAGACTTCCTGGGCTGCCAGAACAGCGTCAGTCACTTGGGAGAAGCTGGGAGAGAGATTCCAGGCTCTTGTCAGGAATATGGACGTGTCCAGGGTAGAGCCCGTTGTCAGTTCAAATGCAGCGATTCTGGGAGGTTCTGTTGCCCTCAGCCAGCTCCATTCTTGGATCCCACCTTATATATATACGGGAAGGAAGATCCTCAGAGCAGCAAACCCGAATCTGAGGAACCTCCATGGGAGGAGATGCTGCCCCAGGAAGAGGCCCTCCACCTTCCCCAAGTGAAAACATCTAACCTCAAACATATTTTCTCTATAAAATATCTGATTTCTCTGAAAGTAATAAATATTTACCATGTTCTATAACCAAGGAGCAGCAACAGGGGGAGGAAGGAGAGGATAGAGAAGAACCTTTGCTGTGACTCCAATGACAGAATCCTAGAGACTCAGGATTCTGTTTCCATGTAGCTGAGCACAGGCAGCCACCAGGGCTGCTCGGATGGGCTGGCACAGCCTTCAAAGGTGGGAACGGCTGACTTTAGAGTTCCCATCATCTTGGGCAGGAGGCCTGCCATATTGCCAAAAATACAGGCACGGGGCAGAGAGAGAGAGGAAGAAGATACCAGAACTAAAGGAGAAAAAAAAAGACCTAAAGGGGCCCTTCCTTCCTCCCTCCCCCTGGCACTGTCTCCTTCCTCTTTCTGCCTCCACACCAGTCCCTGGGCTACCAGCTGGAATGTCAAATGGCTGATGGTGAGGGGCCAGCTGCAGGGCAAACCCGGAGCAGGGGGCCGGCAGGAGGAGCAGACTGACAGCCTTCGTGAAGCAGTTGCCCAAGGCGGTGTAAGCAGAGGGCCCTCCCTGTTGAAGGAGGCCAAAGGGTGAGTCCTCTTAAATGTTATCACGGGCTTTCACTGCTGCCATGAGTCTCCCTGTGGGGGAAACCAGCCTCCCTTCCACCTGGCTTGGAGCAGGATGAGGGATGGGAGCAGCTGACGAGTGGAAGGCTCTGTCTCCTGGGATCACAAAAAGGGGAGGCTGCTGGTACTCGAGGACACCAACTTTTACTGCAGAGTTTCTACAAAGGCATCAAATTCTCGGACATTCTTCTCGTGCACAGCCAGCTTCTCTGGTAGTGAGTCCTGTACCGGGAGGGGAAAGAAAAGCTGCTTATTCAGGCAGGGCCTTGAAGTCAGCCGTCACCCAGGCTGAACAGAGTGCGGCAGAGCCTGGCTCAGCAGCACTGGGCCGGAGAGCCGAGCGCCGAGCAGGCACCGGCCAGTGGTCGTCTGTCCAGCAGGCGACAGTGG